TGCTATTTACGTCACGTATTACGTAAAAGTTAAGCTTTTAATAGGTGCCATGGGCGGTCAGATGTCACTAAAATTACCGTTTACATTGATGCACACACCGTCAAACACTTACCCGACAGGTAAACTATTTTTTAGATAACCTACTTATAATAATCGATAATATCCAAAAATTAAATATTTACAATCTACTATAGGTACCTATTCTATATGACAATATTGTATATAAAATTATTTTTTTCACGGGAAGATCCAAAAACAGTTATAATTTAGCCTATAATCATTGCTTATCAATGACACAGCTAAAAAGAGTAGTAGAACCCTCAAGATACGGCCATGACTTAATCAATTTTATATGTTTCCATATAAATTATTTATATATCTATTATTTTTATGTATGTGACATAGAATGCAAGGATGCTTCATGCGGGTCATTGGGGCCCTGTCTAATGGTGGACACTAAAGAAGCACCCATGACATCAGAAGAACAGTGCACCAATAACTTAGCGCTCTGAGGATTAATCCAATCGGCCGATAATCGAGATATTCGTTCGACACCTACAATAGCCACGGCCGATCAAAATGCCGAAGATCTTCATGAAGACAACCGATTTAAATTTAAAAGAATCTTATGTTGTTTTAATAACAACAGATAGTGTTAGGGGGACCAACTAAAAAAAAGTCTTATTGTTATTTTTGTGAAACATTTTTATACTAAATAAAATAGATTGTAAATAGTAGATACTTTTATTCGATTACATTAAAACTATGTTAAATAATAGTAAAAATTTAATTAGCAAAAAATAAAAAAATAACCAAATTCAATATTAACCATAAATAATTGACAGTTTTCAGAATATGTCTTCTTTATAATATCGACTGAGATTGTTAATTTGAATAATACAATCTCTTAAAATTAAAGAACATATTACCTATAACCAGGCTGATATCTTGCAGGGTAGAGTATTTTTATGATTTAAGAACTGTACAGTATTATTCTAGACAAGCCATATTCTAAAATCCAATGGAGCTCAATAATCTATTTAATGCTTCTGTTAAAATGATTTTTTCGATACACAGTTGTGTTTAAGCAAATGCAAATAAGCACAACATCAATAATCATTTAAAAATTAAAAATACTAAGTACACTTTTAAGCCACACACTAGAGAAATTATAAACACTAAACTTTTTATGTATACTATTTGTTTTGGAAACTAATTTTGCATTTATCTATATATATATATGTACATAAAAACTTAAATAAAGTAATTTCAGAATGATTATGATCAGTTTTCGAAAAATCGTCAGAAGAGAATAACGTAATTTTACTTTCAAATGCTTCAACCAATTGTGTATTAAATACAAAGTCTTTTGTAGGCATTTCTTAAATTAACTAAAACATAATATGCTAAGGACGATTTTTTTCGCTATAAATTGGTTAAAAAAATATAGATACTTATTAATTTTATTTATATCAATGTAAAAAAATAGCGTTTTTGATATTAATCTCCCAAAAAAAAATCTTAAAGATAATAAATTAAAAAATTGACATATTTCAATTTTTGGAGAAGTTTTAATCAAAAATGTGAGAAAGTCGATCTAAAGTAGACTTGATGACAAATTCATATCTATTTTCATAATTCTTATCACTTCATTATATCTATCGGTACGTTGGAAATAGAATACGTCTATAATCCTATGTTACATGTGTATTAAACAAAGACAGAAAACCGTAGTTTCCCTTAAAGCAATAAAATTAAGTGTACAGTCCGAAATTTAAAAAAAAATAGGAACTACCTGACAGCGCGAAAATGTTTATGAAACTGAAACAATGAAATCAGAATGAAAATTGCAAGTGATAACTTGTGAAACTAAAAATTAAAACAGTTACACGAAATCCAGTGTGTGATTTAACCAACAATAGTATCGGACGATTTAACGCAATTATAGTTTCTTGTCTCATGTTAATTATTTTTCTAGTGTACAGTTCGCCTAAGGTTTTAGGTATAATAATTTCAGTTTGATTGAATTCATTAGTTAAATTTCATATGTAGATAAGTAGATATGTTGTCTAAACAAATAAATAAAATACTTTATTTTTGTTCATAAAAACCTTTAAAAAACAGTTCAATCCATAAGAAGTTATGCATTGATGATTATTGATTAATATCATAATATATTATATAAAATGATAATTTTCATAAACTAGGTATAATTTTTCTAAAAAATATGAGATATTAACACAACAATTACCAGAACTTTATATCATTCAGAAAACTCAAATTAAGAAAACTATTTGGATATGTCTGTAATGCCCTAAATGGACTAAATACAAGAAAAATGGTAGATATATATTATATAATACATTCAATACAAGATTCATCTTAAAAAATTTATAAAAAAAAATAATAATGATTAAAGTAGGTATCATTGCAAAAACTGTATACTTCAGTGCTGGGCATCCATGTGGTGTAACATATACACTTCAGATCATAAAAGCAATGCCATTCATAAAAATGAAAATTATGTATGTTTTATTTAGTTGGTTAATATCTTGATCCATATTTTTATCAGAGAACTAATTTCATAAAAACTTATCAACACATTAACTTAAAGCAATTTAAATTTGTTTAACGCCAAGCTTAGGAGATTAAAAATTCCATTTTTTATCTATTAAGTGTCAATTTATTTAAATCCTATTAAACAAAATCATATTAATGTAATTTTAAACTAACTATTAATATATCAAATACATACATTACAATATATATATATGAACAATTTATCAAAACAAGATAATATAGGTACTTTAGAACATTTACATTAATAAATTCTTGCGTTATTATTATTTAAGTTTAACTCCTTCAAAAACATTTAAATTATACCTTTTAATTTATTTCAAACAAAAAATGTCTACAGATTTCTCAAAAAAACATTAAAAACCTATTTTCAAATAAATATTCTACTAGATTTATCTTAAGAAACTCATACAATCAAATAAAGCATTGTGACATTTTAAAAAGTTTAATACATACTTAAGAATCTTTTCAGATAATATACATATTGTAATTGCGATCATGAAATTAGGGAAACTAAAGTTTCATATATCTGGAAATGAATTCAATGAATACATCATGTATTTTCTCCGTAAATAGTTAGTAATATAATGTTATTAATAATAAAATAATTTTTTTTTTTTTTGTCAAATAATTATAGCCATAAGTTTTCAATAAAAATAAATTAAGTATAAAATTGTGGATGTCTAAAGAAAATACTCATGTATAATTGGTAAAATAATTTAAATAACTCTAAAGATATTAATTAAAATTTTGATTTATAACCTTAAAATGATTTCAACGTTAATAATTTAGTATATTGTTACTAAACTGTAAATAAATAAAATTGTTGATGCTTAATCATTGTTATAATTAGATATATTGTACTCATAATCATTATTAAGCATAAGATTCTAAGGTTTAAAAGTTAATAAATATTGTGTCAAAATATCTAAACAATAATGTTGTCACAATGAAAGTGTCTTAGATTAACTCATACATAAGTTTCAAATACCCAAATACATTTTGCAATAGTTTTATATAATCAACAAAATTTGTAAAATGTATTAATTTAACTATTTAAGCCAATGTACATATCAGATTTTATACATGCTATGTAAGTACTAAATGTATATTTTTAATGACATAATTAAAAGGTCAAGTCTCACATATAGCGATTAAATGTTTAAAAAAAAATGTGGGTACAAATAATTTTAATGAAAAACTAATATAAACTATGTTCATATAACGTAATTAATATTACTAATAAAATGATAATAATTTTTCATCAAAATTTATAAATTATTTTAAATACATTTGTAATTCCAACAAACACAGAATCATGTTATTCTGAACATTTAATTATATAATAACAAAACTATAATAAATCTTTTAATTTTGGGACTATTTAATATTATTTAAACGGTATGTGCATTAAAGAGACTAAACCTTTTAAAACACATACATTAAATTTGTTTATAAATATAATATAATTGTGTTTAAATATAAAGATTTGTACACGCACTTATAAACAATATTTTGTATTTTCTTTTCCAATGTCTTTTTAAAATAATTAAATCAAGTTCCTAATCATTAAATTTAGTAACCTAGAATAATTGTTAAAAATTATTTATATTTTATTCAAAATCCTGGGTGAATTTACACAATCACAACAACTATAAAAAATGGATGGCGAGGTTAACATTTTGTCAAGATCTTTGAATATGGACATATCCAAACCTCATTTTATAACATGAAAAATAAAACTTAAAAAAAAAACTCTAAATTATTCAATGAACATTATACTAAGATTAATACATGTTAACAGAATTGATATACATAAAAATTTTAAAAAACTTTGTTAACAAAAAGTTTATGTAGAACCTAATAATTAGGAAATTTAAACATCAGTTAAACTACTAACATATTATAACCTAAGAAAAATTACTTCCTACCTGATGATATTACAAATATTTTTCAAAACTTTATAGTAATAATAAAATAAAATCTTAACTATAGAAGTTAAAATTTAATGTCTTAACTGTCTTAAATCTTATATGCAATTAATTTTAATAAATACAACTAAAAAATACATTAAATTGCCTATAATATTAAAATACTTGCAAACTTAACATTGGTTATAATTTATAATTATGGTCATTACTTATTACTATTTTAAAACTAATATCCTAATGGTTTTAAATTCTCTACTTTGACAAAATTTAAATATATTGATAAGACATTAAAATGAATTATCTATTTTATTATACTTGTATACAAATTTTTGTACTAAATCGTAAAAATATATTGAATTTTATTACCTAATTAAATGATTAAATTTAATAAACACGTATTTAATTATATTAAAATATTCATACATGAACTGAAAATTGATAAAGAACCAAATTGATTTCAACTTAATATAATTTTAAAAAACAAGTGCTTACCGTGAAAATCAAATCTTTGACCACCTCGTACAACATATTTTGATTGATTGGAAGAATCATTTTGATCTGTCACCTTAATCAAAATGTATTTATAACGACCTCTGTCATCAATATCTACGTTTGGGATTTTCTCTAATGCAGAAGATGACATTGTACGTATGATTAACTGAAAAATATTTAATTACGTAAATATAACATTTTTATTAAATAAATAAAAATAAAAGAATAAAAGTGTTTCACAACACTTTTAATTACATTATAAATTAACAATCAAAATCACTTCTATTAAATATCAAATACAACAAATTATACTTAAGTTTTCAGTATTCATACATATTTTTTTTTTCCTTGAAACAAGCACCATATCATTAATTTTACATATTATAAAATATTTATGATATATTCATATTATATGATTCGTAAATTATAATTATTTTTATTACCCATGTTATTTATTTATATTAAAGCTTGCTCAACAGATAAAACTTATATAGTATTAGATTTTATGAATAAATTTATAGACTTAGGAAAATGTATTATGTATACACATCATAGGTTAATGGCGGGAAAAAAAGTTAGTATTCCATCTATCTAGTTAACCATTGTCATTTAAATAAATAATTATTTTTAACAAAACATTCTTGCTTGATATTTTTCAACTATTATTTATATTATTACTCACTAAACTAACTTTTAAGTTAGTATAATTTATGAATTATAATATATGTTTTGTATCTTAATGTTTTAATAAGTCACTTGTCTTATTAAAACTTTTACGAGCGAAATGAATAACCAACATTTTTAACATATGAACAATGAGCAAATAAAAATTTCGCATCATCCAAAGAATAATTAAATTGACAATCATGTCAAGAAATTACTCAAGAGTAATTATAAAAAAAACATTTACCTTAACAGATCGCAAATTTGTAAATGTTATTAATTTTTTAAAAATCATTAACTTTTGAACTTGAACAACAACGGTTCATTGAAATTTGAAGGACTAAGGAGTTGATAATTACTGGAATTACTGCAATACCAGTAATACCACGGTCCACAGAATTTAGGTATTATAACATACGACTTAGTAAGTAGCCAACGACAGCCAATATCACTAACCAGTAACCGGTAAAATTAAAATTTGATAACAGTCATCAATATTGATAATACCACAGAACCGTGGTTTGATATTACTCCGTGTCTGATATTATACACAGAATCTTCTTCTTTTTATAGTTTAAAAAAATACGGGAGTCAGCTTCGCTTTTTTCCTTATAGATTTGATAGGTATACACTATACAGCCAATCAGAAAATCAGATATTTTTTTATCACCGTCGTATCCGTCTCGTATCGCCGTCATCTCCCGCCGGCGGCCCGTTATCGTCATCGGTCGCTATTATTACTCTTATTTCGACCACTTCGAAGGCGCCTAACGCGGTCTCCACAAACACGAAATCTAGTAGGACATAAAAACAATCAAACTGTAGTATAGTAGTAAACCAGTAAAGGGTGATTTATTTATATAGCTATTTAGGTAGTTACCTGATTAAATTGATTTCTCATTCACTTTACAGTATCCACGGCACAAACTAAGTTCCAAGTTATAAATAACGATGTGAAAACAAAGATAATTACCTAGTGAATTTTTAACGCACCATTACATTTCATATCATTAAGAATGATGTGTTCAATTTTCAAAGTAGATCAAGAATCACACGGGATGTAGTCTAAGTTAAGCAACCAAATTTTCACATTAGAGAGAAGAAAACTTATACTGTGCAATATAAATTTTGTTTTTTCGATATCAAATTTACAAAAATAGTTAATTAAGTTTAAAAAACACATGAATAATGGATTTTGAAGCAATTTATTGTTTTCATACATTTTATTAGTTAATTCTAATATTACACCTATTCCAAAATCAGGTAATGCTGCAGATTTAACAGTCACGTCTACCAAAACTATTAGAATCCATAGTTTTTAACTTCATAAATTATCTATCTACAAATAATAATAATATAATAATTAATAAGCAACACATAGATTTGACCATGTTGTCCACAAATATTTGCAACTTTGTGTTTAGTAACCTACTATTCAGTACCTTTTATAGATCTGTTGTTTATATATCATATTATTTACTATTATCAATTACATTATACTTCAAATGTAACAGGATAAATCCCAGCTAATAATTAATAAATATGAAACAAATAATTAAAATTACATATTAATTTAATTTTTTTTATTAAACTTTATTTTGTTCATTTATTTATAAAATTGACATTTATATAACAGTATTAGTTTTATACAATATTTAAAAAATGAATACAAACATTAGAAATGAAATTTTTGCTAATATCAAAGAAAACAAAATGACAAAAGTTTTACAATTAAAAAAAATTTATAAAATTATATTGAATAGAGAATTTTAATATTAAATTTCCCTTTACAACTACTTTATCGTTTAACTATACAATAATATGTTTAAAAAAATAATTCTAAAAGATTCTTTTAGTTCATTATATTATTCAACTAAAATTTTAGAGTCATGTTCTTTGAAATTGAATTTAACTTCAATATCTTTAGATATAAATGCCCAATAATAACGACGTATTGGATCATAATCGGATGCCAAATCAGAACATAACTAAAATAAAATATATTTATTATATAACTTTTGATTAAAAACAAAGTATATAAACAAATTAATTAATTCGGTATACATACTTTTAATGCAAATTTAATTTTCTCAATATTCTCTGGATCAGTAGATTTATCTGCATCAGTCAAATCGATCAAACAAGACATTAGGTGTACTGATCTATTTCCCTTATTATATAAATTTGTACAAAAATCACGAACTTTATTTTCCAAAACTCCATTTTCTGAATATAATAATAATCTATTTCAAAAACAAATGTTAATTCATTCATTTTAACTAATGACTTATTTAAAGTACATGATAATATTACCCTCTTAAATAGTTCCATGCACTTTCATTTTTTGATAAAATTTGTATTTTACTAAATGTATATTCAAGTTCTTTATTAATTACATCAGGATTAGGATCTGAGTTATTTATAACAAAATAACGTTGATTCCATGCAGAATTGTTTCGCATATCTTGAGATATCAAATTATCAACAAAATTCAGCTCATTTTCCATTAACTCACTTAAATAAACATAAATTAAATATTGAATACATTTTTTAATATACATTCAACAATTATTGTATTACCTGAAAGTAGTAAGGACCCATTGTCTGTATTGCCAAGCATGATAATTTTTTGAGTCCATATCTAAAATATCAGCTGTAAATTCTAGTTCACCTGATGGATCTTTTAACATTTCTACAATAGTCTTACGATATTGCCTGAAAATTAAATTAATTAAAATTAGATTATTAGGTTGTGGTAATTTAATATTTTACGAGTCAAGTTATACAATATGCTATACTCCATCAACGTTTAAAAGGTACCTCGGCGACTGACTTCTGCGTGACTTTACTACATAACAGGCGTACACATAGTTGACTATGCAAATGTGACAGTCATGCATTGCCTAACCACTGCTTAATAAAAACTGGTTCACCGCCAAGATTCTTTGCTAACGTAAATGGAGTATACATATTATAAACAGAATACATACCACACTTGGTAATTTTTAGTGAACTCGCGGATCACCATCGATATGTATTCTAATTCATTGTGTAAGTCTACTTTCAAGTGTTTTACAATTTCTAATCTGAAAAAAAAAAGTTGTTAATATTTTATACTGAGTATACAATTTACACACCAACAAACTATTTACCGGTATATCCATACAGTGTAATTAGCTGGGTTTAAAGTTATAGCATCAGTAACCAAGCTCAGGGCCCTTTGAGACTTCTCTCCCGATTTAAGAATAGCTCTGAAATAGTCATATACATCTGAAACTGTAAACAAATAGAAAAAAATTATAAGTATTACATTTTGTCAAAAAGTTAAGACACACCAGTATCAAAATAACAATGTCAATAATAACTACAAACTGCGCTAGCTCAAATGTGACCAATGAAATATTACGATTAATTTTAACTAGTCCAATGGAATGTATTTTTATTTATTACATTTAGTAGAGTATGCTATCTGAACCACTCGAGCTGGACCATCATCTTGTGCGATAGGTTGTACGTCCTTCCATTCTGGTCGGTCTCGGTACAGCACGTAATTGAAACTATCTGTCGCATCATATAAATCGGAACTATCAGATTTATGTTCCTGGTTTTGATCGACCATTTTGAACACGGCACCTGTGACTGTGTATAAATAGGATTGTCCAACAGTCCTCCTGAGTATATCAATTATAATTTTTTTGAAATAATTATAATGTTTGATAAGCGATTCCATTTTTCCACGATCCGCCGATCAACGACAATTGATAATAAGATAATTATCATGACCACGGTCTTAGAATAGGCGTGTTTTATGTAGTGTTGTCAACAAACAGTGAAGTGATAAAGATTTCCAAATCGAAATGGGCGGTTATAACTTACAAAATTTACCTGACATCTTCTATATTAGTAAAGCCGTTAACCGATACAAATGAATCACAGTTATAAGGAGTTATGATTCCAAAACACTCATAAATGTCCTAAACTCCTAAATGCCCATGTACCCTAAACTATTATTATTATTTTTTATTTAGCCTAATATAACAGTTTTGTTATCATTGTTATCAAAACGAGTTATCTGTCGTAGATAGCTCTTTAGTATATTTTGTTATTATTATTATTATTATTTCCAGTGTTTAATAATGTGATTTATAAGTAGTTATTAGATAGATATATAAGTATTACTTAACATGGTTCCGAACTGTTATTTTTTCAAATTCACGATTTTATAATAATCTTCAATTAACTACGATGAACTCTTTTCCACCTAGAACTGCCACGCTTTTGTACGAATTGGACAGTAAGTGTAAAATTATAAAATGATTATTTTGCCTTTTGCCAGTTAAATATTGTATTAATGTGTCATTTACATAAATTGTTTGTTTTTTTTTTTTTTATATTACTATAGAAAAGCTTATGGTTCTTTTACGTGACGGTAGAACGCTTATTGGATACTTACGGAGTGTTGACCAATATGCCAATTTGTTGCTTCAGCAAACAGTTGAGCGCATACATGTGGGCAAAAAATTTGGTGATATACCCAGAGGTGTATTTTTGGTGAGAGGAGAGAATGTCGTGTTACTTGGAGAAATAGTAAGATTGTATTTAAAATGTTGTACTAAATATTAATATTGTTAGTAATTAATCTTTGTGTTTCTAGGACGCCTTAAAAGAAGCCGATCAGATGTTTGAAAGAGTATCAATAGGAGACATTCTTGCATTACAAAAACAAGAGCAAGATGCCAAGATTGAAAAAGCAAAATCTATTGAACGGTCTTTGAAAAGAAGAGGTATGCGATTTCCTCCTGACCTAGTTCAAGATGATTTCCTTTGATTAACATGATAAATTTATTTAAGTAAGCAATCAACAAATAGTGATACTTTAATGTTTTTCATTTTTGTAGATTTGTTTATTATTTTAACTTTGAATTCTAACAAATTAGTAACTAAAGGCTGTCAAAATATTTACAATTATATTTTTTATTTAAATAATAAGATAAAAAAATTGTTAGTATCTTTTATTAATTTACTCAATAATTAAATAAATATGATAATTTTTGTATTCTACTCAAAAACAAGAAAACTAATTTTTTCATTCGTGTGTTCCTTTTATTCCAAAACTATTTTTTGGAACAATAAAAGATTTTATGTTGCCACTATGTTTGGAAATTTGATGCCAATAGGACATTGTGTAAAATATAATATGTGTGTATATATATATATATATATATATATATATATATATATATATATATATATATTATATTGTTGACTTATTCCATTTAGATTCAAGTAAAAATGTGTAATATAACAACAAATAGATTTTTAATAAAATTGATATTCATTTTTTTTTTTTTTATTGATTCAATCTTTTATCATTTACAATAAACATTTCATCTTTAATCTTTTAGTTGATAATTTTATTAAAACTTTTTTTTCAAAATTGTCAGAATTAAGCAAAGAAAGGCAAACTATTTGATACAAATATAGATATATTTATATTTTTAAATAATTCTAATTATGTTAAAAATTAAAATTGACACAATGTAGCTACTTAAATTCTATATAATAATTACATACAGGGTTGACAGTTTTTCTTAATTTTTTTGTTTTATTGAAGGTTTTTATTTTGTATAATTAACTAGTCTGTAGTTTTTTAACCAATTTTAGATTTGAATTATTAAATACCAGGAGTATGCTAGATTATAGACTTACCATAAAATATGAATCTATTAAATATGTACTATGTCATTTATTATGTTACTGAATACAAATTAAAACTGTGTTGATTATTAGATTAATATTTTTATAAAATAGGTTTATATTATTAACCATAAGCAGCTTTAAAAATTTAAGTTTATTACAAAAGTTTCAAAATTTGCAAATGTGCTTTTTTCTTAAATAAATTTACAAGAAATCGTTTTTTTAAATTTTTTTTTTACAAAATAATTTTATATAAAACCCACCTATATCATTGAAGCAATTGTTGTAGAATTACATTTATGACTGTCAAAATAATATAAACTGTAGATTTTAGAATTAAGTATTTAAATACTGAAATGTGCTCTACTTAAAAAGTTATTTAAATTTTCTGTTTGTATCGGTATATTTTTTTACTGCATTTTATCAAACATAACTTTGAACTTTTACTAAATAAAAGTATAAAAACACTTCAATTAAAATATTATAAGTTTGTTATTTATTACATATTGATTGCATATTTTTTCGTAATAAAACCATAAACTATTACATACAATAATTTATAAAATACTACAACTTATCATCGTTGTCTATCTAGAAATAAAAAATTGTAAATGTTTAATTTTATTTTTAATTAAATTAGAAGAAACAATGTCTTAATATAGATATTAGAATATTTATAAATTATAATATTATTTTGTATAAATATTACCTTTGTAAATCTTTTTTGTATCTGAAAAAATGTTAAATAGAAAAATGAATAAACATGCAATAATTGTTGTTATTGTTTCATACATATCTTTACTTAACACTTTAAAAATTGCAATCACCTCAACAATAATAATTACAACTTCTAAACTCTTGATTTTAAAAATGTATTGGTATTTAATAAGTGCTCGTGTGGCTTATTTTTTTATTTTTTATTAAATAATTACAAAATTATTTGACTAAAATTTTATTGAATCAAAAAATTAAGTAGATAATTATGACAATGAAATACAAAATATTCAATTTATAAAAAACTAACAATTAATTATAATTGTAGCATATCGTTATCATTTTAATTTTGAAACAATTTTAATAAGTATTTCATATCAAATAATTCGTTGAAATATAAATAAAATAACAAATACATTAATAATAAAAAAAAATTGAAGGTACGACTTAATGTTTTTGTGATAATATTATAACTAGTACACAATACATGGATTGCTAAGAATTAAACAATAGACATGAACAATAGAGCAATATGATATAAACTAAGTTTTTGATCTTCAATCACCATGGTTATTGGTTTTTAAAAAAATGGCAGTTTGAATTAAAGTCCATTTTGTAAAATATGGTAAGCCGCTCCAAGTGCCCAACTTATTTCATGTCCGTCAATAGTATTCAATAACTAAATAACAAATTTATAACTATATTAGATCTTGATAAATAATAGAATAATTACAAACAATTATGATAATGAATAACGACTTACAGAAACTGAAGTTTCAACAGGTAAACCAAAACCTTGCTCCAATAAAACAGAAATATATGTTAAATCAAGGCATTTAAATGGACGTAACTCATTATAACTTGTATTGGAACATTCTGGAAAAATAGAATTTATTGTTTAAAACAATTTTTAATTAATAAAAACAGATTACCTTTTTCTGCTGCTTCATAAAACGATTTTATGGTAACATCACCTCCTTCTTCGCCTAAAAATTACAATAATAAATAAAGTAGTAACAATTCATTGTAATGTATAAAATACTATTTCATGTTTAAGATCTAATACATACCAACAAGGCCAGCATCTTGAGCTCTATCATAAAAGTATGAAAATGCTACTATTTTCTGATTGAGCAAATCTTTGGGTTTGTCAGTATATATAGTTTTAACTACAGCTTCAATGATACTCTTACACAGTTGGTAATCCACAGCTGGACCTTTTTTTGATGGTGCTCCACTGAAATAAATACATAACAATATGATAATATAGAAAAATAAGTCAACATTTTTAGATTAAAATACTTCATATTTTAATAATAAAAAAAAATTACTTGTTTTAAACAATTATTAAAAGTAAATCGCATCTTCATATATTGTCTCAGTCTTACACACATATGACATAATACATTTTTGTTCACCAGTTTCAATAGTGTGCTTTTAGTTTTGATGTTAGTGATTTGATTTATCAAAATTTTAGATCAGAATATTATCTGCTATACTGTATGTGTGTAAGTCAGAGACAACACATGAAGGTGCAACAGGAAAAAACAGGAATTTGAATTAAAAACTTACGTTACATGGTAGGTATTTTGAGCAAATTTGTAAGGTGTTCCTTTGGCTGCCTCTTGAACACAAGGGCTAGTAACATTTAACAAGTCGCCATCAACAGTAAACACACTTTTTCGTGCTGCCATTAACCCCAACCCTAAATAACTAAAATATATTTTTTAAATTAATTAATATAATATTAGTAAAGTTTAATTTTAATATACCTGTGGCTATACAAGTTTACTTTTTCATTCATTATTGAATACTCTGTAATAAACTCTGGTAATTCTTTTATTATTTGTTTACTATTAGTAGGGATAAATGTAATCTGTATAGATCCACCTCCTAAATCAAGAGCAGCTACTGTATTTGTTAATTTACCATTTAAACGATCTGAAAAAAATATCCATTTTTATAACAACTAAAAAAATAAATATATTTTTAGATTGTATGTATATATATTTTTTACCAAGCAGAAAATTCACTGTAAACCATGAAAAAAGACCTTCGTCAATACCATCCATGATGGCCACTGAATTTTCATTTGTATAAAATGGATTATGTTTAAATAATTGTATTACCTATAAAAAAAATTTAATAATTTTTAAAATAAAACTAGCATTTATATTTACAGAAAACACAAAATACTTCATTGAGAATTCCATCTGCTTTTTCAGTTGGTAATAACCTTAAACCAGCTGTTGCTCTCATTGCAAGTGGTGTATTTTTCCAATACTGTTTGGGCACAAAATTTTTAGCCTTGGCTAATAACTGATCAATTGATTCAGCGCCCTAAAATACAAATGAAATGTAATTAACTTAAGACATTAGGTTAAATATATTTGTTTAAAAACATAACATTTACTTTTTTTGGATTATCGGCAAAACTAGATAAGCCTGGTTTAACTTGTACAAATAATTCATCTTCTAATTCTAAGGAACCACCTATAATATAATAAATATTAAATAATAATATAATACTAAGATGTTTTATTTAAGTACTTGGTGTTTTTTTAAAAGCTAATGCTAATACTCTTGAACCAGTACTTCCTGCATCAATAATAACAGCATATACAGGTTCTGAGAATGGTTGCTTATTAACAATTTTGTCACCATAATCTGATTTATATAAAGTGTAATATGCTGAAATTTTTAAAGTTTAATTAACTAACAGTAAATGATTATCACAAAAAATATCATTAAATAAATTAAATTTCACTTACAATATATTACCAAAAAAGTTATAACAAAAATACTATACAGTAAATATTTAGTTTGATTTATTTCAGGTTTTGTTTTATCATTTTTGTAAGTATCATCTTCTTCAACAATCTGAAAAATTATTTTAAAATAAATATTAATTACTACACAGTTCCAATATGTAAAGTAAACATTATCATAATGAAGTTATAATACAAAATATAAATTAACCATTAAATTAACTATTTTATTCTTCTTTAAACGATATCAGACAAATCAATTTTAAATAATTTTAAAAACTTATATAGATACACTGTTAAAAAAAAATATATATCCTAACATTAGTATGTTTTTACATACATTTAATTATATAATTAAAAAAAATTCTGTACTTAATATTAGAGATGATATAAAATATCAATCATCTTCTGATAAAAGTAACAGAAAATTAATTAATATGTTTGTGTCTTTCAGTAATTATATAATTAAATATTACATTTATCATAAATCAATATTATATTCTCTAAAATTAAAGCAAACTAAAATAAACATGAGGGTTTTAAAATTTTAAATAAATATGTTTCCAGTTAAAATCATACCTGTCAACTTAATACATTCTTAGTTATTTATTATCAAATTTTCTCACATAATCAAGTCTACATAATTTCTAAAAAATTATAAATTATAGTTATTCTATAAGCGATAAGCAATTAATTATAATTGACTTATACATTTACCATGCTTATTTATTTAAAATTCAATCATTTGTAATTTTTAACTTACTGAATTGTTTAAATTTATAAAATGTGTATATTCTTCTATCATAATTTTAATTGTAATTATTATGACTACAAATTAGTAAAATTTTTATTTTAATGAAATATATTAAATTGAAAAATTTGAGTAAGTGCCTACTTATAATTGATAAACTGCATAATATTAAAAATTATATTTAAAATTGGCATTTTGCAAAAAGGTGTTAGTATTAATTTTAATAAATTTAAATAAATATGGTATACACATACAATTATTAGCATCTGTGTCAATACTGTATCTATTTTTTTTTTTTGTATATTTTATAATATACTCATCATTTAAACATAGTATTTTTATTAATATATTAACTAAATCAAAAACGTTGAATCTCGTCTTTGTTAATGAAATTTTATTTTTATAATTTGATAGATTCATATGATATTAATTAAAATATGGAACAGACAGGTAAGCTCAACTTAAGTGAATGATACTAACAACCACTTTCTATATACTATATAGCTACTCAAGGAAAGTAGAGATTTATGATCAGGAGACAAATCACATTTTTAGGCAGTAATGATAACATCAATTGAAGTCCATCTATAAGTCATAGTATGGATAAAGCACCACGGACACTAACCAAAATTATTGAATTCAACGATGAATGAATCGATTACTTAAGCAGAATTTTCCAAATTGTGTGTAACTTAAAATTTTGAGGATTACTTTGGTTCTTATGCAAGCATCACCATTATAGTAATACAAAATTTAAAAGGTCCTGTATATATAGCTAGATTACTATAAAAAAAATAATAATTTAAAGTTCAGACTTAAGTACATATTAGGGTATTTCAAATTTATTTTTATGTTTAACATATTCAACAACTGATCCTCCAACTTCAACTAACAACTTTTTCATTTTCTATGTAATAATTTATTTGATAATTAAACACCACATTAGATACTAAATTAATACATAATTAACAGCAATATATAGTCATAGAGATTAATGCTGATATTCGAGACTATACTCTGTAAAGCAAGACAACACATCAAATTGATTTTTTTATGAATTACCACTCAACACCCAATAATCAAGACCAGAATCACTTTGGCTGTCTCATGATTATGTATAGGAGAATCAATTTGTATCGGGCAGCAGTGTATTTTCTAGCTGTTCAAAGTATAAGTTGATTTAAGGTGACTAAATTCTGTGGAATTATTTATTATTATATAAAATTTCAGATAAGTAGGAATATAAAATATAAAATAGTTCCTTGCAGAGTAGGAAAAAATACATGAAAAGATGTTAATTAATAAGTAAAGGTTAAAGTCGTAAATAAATAATTCAGAAATAAACTTTATAATATTATATATTTATGTAAAATAAAATTGATATAATAAAGATGTTATAAAATTTATAAATTAATGTCTGCAAAATTATAATTTATTCATTTTGATTAAGGAATATTTTGTTTTTAACAATTAATATGATAGTTTTATTTTAAATCATGTTTAAATTCATTCAATGCCAAAAATTAAATTCATGATTTTAATTTTATAGAAATGACATCAAATAATAAGAAAAAATATTATAAATATTTCCTAAGTAGAAAATTGTAAAACATTAATATTAATTTTGTAAAAAAAAATGTACCTAACTTACCAATTTATAAGATATAATTTTTATCTTAAAATACATTAAGACATTTATCATTTAGTATATTACACAACATAAATAATAAATATTATATGATGTATCTCTTCTAAAACTATAAATGTATAATAATTATAAGAGTAATAAATTAAACAAATAACTCATGTAAGTTATAATATATATAATATTAGGTTAGTAAAGAAAGAGCTATAATATTGTATACATAATAATTGTATGATCTTTACTCAACACTAACCCTAATCTTAAGTCAGTATTTAATTAAAAAAGAAAATTCCGTTTTAAAACAGTTATTATCTATTAGCAGTGACATTTATATATACAACTTCTTTTTTCCCATTCATTACATTGTCAAAATATTCTTATTATAAGTACTAAATATGTATATCAGAGCAGAATATATAAAACAATTTAAGTTTATTTTTTTCAGATTTTAAATTAGTACATGTAATTATAAAACAACTATTTTATTTTAAATACAATGGCCACAGATGTTGAAGTTTAACTATTTGAGTGAAGAAATAAAAATTAATGATTAATTCTTTTTATTTTTTTTTTTTTTGATTTTTAACATCATACTAATATTTTTACTGAGAAAAAAATAAACACCAGAGCATTAGACTAATCAACCTATTTACACTACTACTTAATGTTAAAATTTACATTTCAAAAGTTAGATTAAAATATGTAATATACACGAGTTGATTTACAAATCATGCTAAATTTAATTTAATCTTTAATATAAAATGTATTTATTTTATTCAAATACTGATTTTTGAAATTTCGAAATAAACTTAAATACCATGTTTAAAATAGATCCTGAGATTGTCATTTATAATTTACTCTGAAATAATTTGATCTTCATACAGAAAAATATTTCATAAATATTAGGTGGTTGGAAACATTGAACTTATATAAGTAAACTTAAAAATTTTAATAAATACATTATTTAAGGAAATTAATGGGGGTTAACAATTAGCATCCTTGGTGAACCACATAATATACATAAATACGTTATTTTTTATATACAGAATCCACAAAGCCCTAACTAATTTATTATAATCATTAAAATGATAATATTGACGTTATTAGAAAATATTTTCCACAAACCTTTTTAGTTTTCTTAGTGTGTCTTTCCATTTCAGTACTTAAATTAAATAACAGTCAAAGTTTAGAAACCTTTGTACGTGTATTGAGGTTTATCAGTCAAAGGATAAGCTGAACACGAAAAAGCAACAGTAATAGAGTTGTTCAATTAAAGTTCACACATTATACACTATTGACAGAATACAAAATACGGAAAACTGTTTTAGCTTTGACTATTGCCTAATAGTGAATACCTGAAGGCTGAAGGCTGAAGGTAATAATATTATGCTTATTTTATTACTTAATAATTAATATTAACGTTATCATTTTTAAAAACACCGTATTGTTAAATTATATACATATTATCATATATATATATATATATATATATATTATGTGTATGGCTAATCGTCCCAACCAGCAAGTTATATAACATATGAATTCACTGATAAAACTTATCCGACTCCACCTTTTTTTCAAAGTCTAAAAAATATGTAGTCATAACTATAAACACAGAATAGATTTAATACACTATAGTCTTTAGACGTGATGTAACAGTTTAATTTAATTTAGTTTTGATAAAATTTGATATTCTTGCATGAAATAATAATTTTTTTATTAATGTTGTGTATTTCAAAAACAAATAACCGTAGTTCATAGATACATGAAATTTTAACTAAAAACTTATGTTGGTTAGCATTTTGTTTCTTTTTAAACTATTGATACCTAATACTTATAGAATTATTGACATTTTAAATTTTCGATTTTTTCTTTATCTGAATGTTGATAACATTTTTGTTTACGAATATGAGTAAAAAAAAAACCTCGAAAAATTAATTCAATATTCCTAATAAGTTGTTCTTATCATAATTTAAAAAAAAAATTGACAAGTAAGTATCGCTCTGTTGTAGATACTCTGTACATTAGGTGTCAAATGGGTCATTATTATGAATGTGTTAAATTTAAATTCAATGATTTATCATTGTGTACGAAAAACGATTATAAACGGAACAAGTTCATACACAAGCAGTGATTTTGAAGGGTTCAAATTCTCCCTCATTGCCATTTTTTTCATCTAAGTCAATAACAGCTTTTGAATTTTTTCAAATTCAAAAATAAAATTTCAGACTTTTTATTTTAGTAGGTACTAATTATTTTTTATAACTCTTTTCGTGAATAAATCCTGTGCATGGGCTTAGAGACTAGAGTAGAGACAATCTGTCTTCGAAAAACTTATAAAAAACCTTGACATTTTCTAATTTTAGGTATAAAAACCAAAAATGTTAAGAATTTCTAACTATATAGAATAAATTTCTAATTTTCGTATTTTCAGGAATTTTTTTAAAATTCTAAATTACAAACATTTTTATGATTATCAATTTTCGAAATTTTTTTATTGAGAAATTAACAACTTATGAAAAGCTTTGTATTACATTTTCAAACGTTCTTACTAAATAATTAATTTTTAATTGACTTTTCCGAAAAAAAAATTATCATACCAATAATATTTTGAGTATTTTATTGTAATTAAAAAAAGTTAAAAGAGTGAAATCCCCATTTTTTCGTAATTTTATTTTTGTTTCTTATAATTACAAAAAAAAGTAAATACCTACCTACTAGCTATTTTTTAATTTTGACTTTTAACATAACAATTAGATCCAATTTGCTGTTTATCTAGTTTTTACCAATTTTATAATAAAATACCTACATATTTTAATCGTCAAATTACTTTATCACTATAAAAATATAAGTACCTAAGTAAAATTACAGAATCAATTTCATCGAATGTTTACTCTTTTGGGGTATTAAATAATAAGAATAAATAAATAATTAATATTTCAAACAATGAAGAATTTTCACTTATTTAATAATCTGAGTGTCTAAAATATTAAATAAAAAAACATTATCTAATTATTGATACAAAATATTAATTTAAAACTAATATTATGGACTATAGTCATTTTTATTTATATATAAATAGGTAATGAAATATTATTAAATACCATTTATATATAATTACTAAATTATTTATACCTGACATTTTGACTTTGTGATGTCATAATTTACTTATTTATTACTTTAATGATTAAAAATTTTCTTCATTTTTCCTACACACCATATAATATACATGATGTATCTATATAATATTAGTGATTTTACTACTTCAGTAAATAGACTTGCTTACAGTCCTACAGATACCTAAATATGTCTAGGTGTTTATTGAATAATTTAATTAACTTTGATAAGACATTTATAAGTTTTAAACTATTATAAATTTTATTGCTAAATACTAATCTTGGTTAGGTATAGATTATAGAAAGAAACTAAAATAGAGTAGGATTATAATATTTTTGTTCAATATAATATAGTATTCAGTCCACGATTTTATCAAATTTTAACGGTTGTCTAACTCTAATATGAACTAGGTTGTATACTAGTATACTTAATAATTAATATGTGTTTATGCATTATACAAACGACATAAAAACCTATAAATAACCTAACCTGTCACTATATCACGTCTTGGTAATTGTCATCTATTATTACAATGAATTACGACTCATTACACATTTAATCAATTATTTTTTTTCTACAATTAAAGAAAAATCATGTGTAATCAGTGGCTTACGTATAAGATTTTTTAATGGAAGGGGCTTGGAAATTACTTAAAATCTTATTTTTATTTTGTTCAATCAAATAATTTCAAACGCATTTAGATGAAGTGTTTAAAAATGTTTGTACAATTTCAACTACCTACTCAAATTTTCTGGAAAAAAAAAATACTTGAAGCTAATAGGATCTAGTTAGTACTTTTGGGAAATCAAAATTAAAAATTCTCAGTACTTTTTAAAATAATTGGAAAATCTGAAACACACGAATAAATATTAAAATATTTTGTAACGTATTACGTAAGTTAAACCGCATCATCGCTTAGATTGTTTTTTATTAATTTAAATTTTTTCTTTCTTAAAACGTCAATAAAAAATATTTGTTTGATTAAAAAACTTAGAAATGTAATGCAAGATTCTTCATAAGTTTTATTATAACTATTTAAAAATATTAACGATACATAGGCGCGAATATTTTTTAATTTAAAGCATTTAAAGTTCACATTTTGACATTTTCATAATTAATTTGTAGCCTAAAACGTATAAAATAATACATTTTTTATGTGGCAGTTTAATATAAGGCCATTTATACAAGTAGTTCATACTTTTACCAAATAATTAGTGATCGTTTAGGGAAAACTAGTTTGTAAATATGTTTTGCAAAAAAAAAAAATTATTATAGTAAGATGTATAATGAATTTACGTCTTTCTTACTACATAGTTGACGATAGTTAAAACCCGATAAAAATTTAAAAACTTTAAAAAAATATTATTACGGTCAAGGGAGGGGGGCTTCAGCTCGTTAGCCCCCCCCCCCCCCTGCGTACGTCAATGTGTGTAATGAATAAGCCAACTAAAAAATGAGAAATTATAAATAATAAGATTTAATAAATAATATACCTACGAATTATGATTGAACAATAGTCGATAATATTATGTACCTATATTATACAGAAGAGTTAAGTGCATGTGCTACCTAGTAGCTACTATATAAGATATAAAATACTAAAAACCATTGACGTCTGACGATAGATTTACGAGTTTAGAAATTATTTAAACATTTTTTAGGTTTTTATTCTTTAATCTTTAAATCATCTGATCATGGTTAACTATGCAATATGCAATGAAACAAAGTCAAACAGTGTAGCCTACAATGGCTACAACAGTGACAGTCAACAATTATTATTTTCGGTGTACAATCAAAGTAATACATTTTTAAGAGATAAAAATAAATTGATTATTTGGATAAGTGATAAGGACTAAAATCAACCAATCAGAACAATGCACTCAGTTGATATCATTATTATTCATCAATAGACTGTGGTCTTTTATGTTCACGTTATCAATAATTGTTATTTACTGTTAACGAAATACATGTGTTAGTATGTAAAATAAATTATACACTATACTGATATAGCATAGTAATCACTGATCACTGATTACTGTTTATACTTTAACTTTATAGTATAATCTGCACAGGTTAATTACAACTTACAACCTTGCTATTTGTAGGGTTATAATAATTAAATACTTAAATATTCTTTTAAGAATAATTTACTTGTATAGTTTTATCTGCTGTCAAACAATTTCATTTTTTGTCTATTTCATCTGTTCTGCATTTGTGAATTGTTTATGTGTACTTAGGCCCCAAAGACTTGAATTCTATAACTAGGTACAGTACCTATTTTTGTGGTAAAATGGTAAGCATTATATTTGAAACAATAATTTATTATGATTAAAATTTTATTATTACTTTTTAGTGTTTTTGTAAGTTTTATAAAAATTATTAGGGTTCTTGGTGTATATTAATAAGTATTTGTTATTTATATTTACAATTCTTAAGTTTTGAATAAGTAGGAATGGTATTCAACTAAAGCAATTTGCAGTATTTTGCTTATTATTCAAACATTTTTACAATAAAACATTTTGCTATAAACTATATATCATAAGCAAAATAAAAAAATTCAATATTTTATAAATCATAAAAATAATATTGGAAAATTTACTACTTGACATATGTTAAGACTGTTTAGTCAAATTTATAACTATATATAATGAGTTTAGTATCCTTTGTATTGTTAGAGGATTTTATTATATATATTTTTAAACATTCCGCTAATGTCCTTTCAGATCAGGAATTCTCTTACTTGTAATATCATATTACACCTAAATCACTACTTAATTAAATATTTATTTATAATTGATTATTTCGTTATTTTTTCTATTTACAGGGTACTAAAGTGTGTGATATTGGAGATGATGTTAAGGAAACATTGAGAAAGTTTCGGTTCCGTAAGACAACTAAAAATGCTGCTCTTATAAGTTAGTTTTTTTAAATAACAATATAAACTTTTATTTAAAAGACCAATCTTATTTTATTTTGTATTATGTAAATAGTGAAAGTAGACAGAGAAAAACAACAAGTATGTGTAGATGAAATGTTGGATGATGTTACTCTTGAAGAACTTAGAGAAATTTTACCAGGTCATCAGCCACGTTATATAATTTACTGCTGTAAAATGGAACACGGAGATGGCCGAGTGTCATTCCCAATGTGTTTCATTTATTTCACTCCAAGAGGTATATAATAGTTTATAATAAAATTTAATGTTTTGTATTAATTATTTTTTATTTTTAGATAGTCATATGGAATTGCAAATAATGTATGCAGGTACTAAAATGGCTTTACAACGTGAAGCCAACTTGACTAGGGTGTATGAAGTGAGAGAATTGGATGAAATGACAGATGAATGGTTACAAGACTGTGTCATGGGAAAGTAATATTTTGTATGACTAAAACAATACATAAATGACATGAAATAGATTTTAAAATGGTTATAATATAATCTATATAATAGATTTAAAAAAAATACCATTCATAACAAAAAATATATATAGTATAACATATTATACTGACTCATAATAATTTCAAATTATCAATACTCATTTTTAAATGTTATAATAAATAGAATAAAGTACAAATCATTTTTTTAAATTTTTTAAATAAAATTTAAACCATTCATTGGTATTTTTTTATAATATTTGACATACTCCATAAAACCTTTTTTTACAGTAATTATTGACCATTGATTTATATTTATATATTATGATTTAATTATTTTGGCATATTTAAAATATTTGAGTATACCTAACATTAGAATTGCTGAACATTCCTTTTGATTTTTCACTTGAATGTGTATTATGATAAAGTATTTTTTTTAAATTGTATATCATAATTTTTTTAACCTGAAAGTTAATAAAATCTTAGTTTTATATGAATACTATATTTTTAATAATTTAGATTATCTAAATTATATCCGTGTGATTTTTTTACTTAATTATAACTATATTTATACATTCATTTATACAAATTATTTTTATTATTAAAACATATTATTTTAATTGAATTCATATTTAGAAGACATTATTTACTGTTAAATTAATCTATTATATTATTTATTCATTTTTTTTTTTTTTTTTTTTTTTTTTTGTTAAATTATTTATTTTTAAGTTTGTTAAATTATATTTTATGATATCCATAGTGTAAAACTCTTTGAAAATTACACTTTGCTAATAGTTTGTAATACATAATGTCACTTTTTTTATAATAAATGATTAATTGTGTTTTTATATTGTTGGTTATGGTTTAAAAGATTTTGTAATATAAACATATTTAAATTCTAAAACTAAATTTTCATAAATTTACAAAAACAGTATGGTATTTCATCATGTATCACGACCATAATTTTGGTTCATCCCCTTAATAATATATTGGATCGGTTACCTGAAAATTTTGATATTATTCATCTTTAATAAGATTGTGAATCAGATTAATAATTAGTGATTATTGATAACTAACTATTAAATTAAATAATGTTAAATATGGATTTGGATTTGAATAACTAAAATAATTAACAGTAATCTTTAGTTTTTTGAAAAATAATATTAATGATCATGCAAAAAAGTATATATTATCTTTATTTATAAATGAATAACAAAAATGCAGTGTGATCTTAATGTACAAATATGCTTATTTTTTAAGACAAACAATGCTTTTTCAACTTTACAAACATTAAATAGTGAAGTGTATTTATTACTGTTACAAACAGCTGTAATATCAATAAAATGTATTAGCTATATAAAAGGATTTTTTCTAAGTTATTACTTAATTTATGTTTTTTTAGTTTTATGTCTTTTATGAGACCTAATAATTAAAAATATTTATTATTAAAATATAAAAACATAATAATAATAAAACTTTTAAAGTTATACAATTAATATTGAAAACATTAAATTAATATTTTGATTTTTATGAAGAGTTTATAATGTATTCATTTATGTACTAATGTACTTGGACATATCAAAGCATTACATTTAAAATTTTAATTTAAATCTATAGTAATACATTAAATTAGTAAACTGGTACAATATATTACTTATGAAATTACAGTATTTTAAAAGCTTTATTAATACAAAATTGAAAATATAATAAATAAATGACAAAATATTATATAAACTAAACATAATAACTTATTAATAAAAATGTACAAATTTTATAAATACATATCACTAAAAGTGACTTTAACATTTATTACGTTTAATTATTGATTATACATAAAAAATTTAAATAAGTTACATTCAAAACAAAAAATGCGAACACATAACTGAACACATTATTAGGTAGATATTGTATTATATATTTATATACAAATACACATATACCTTTATATTATAAGTATATTGTGTATGTGGAGGAATATATATATATATAAATTATATTTCTAGAAACAAATTATAAGTTTCAAGTTTGATTAGAAATACTTAAAAGTAATGTTTCTTATTTAACGAATATAGAGTCTCAAATTGTTTCGGGCAACGTCCAGTCCGAGAGGAGTAAACACCATATTCACACATTGGCAACAAACACTGACCCGATGTTATGCAACTGTTAAAAAATAAAAACGATTTTAAATTTGTTAAAAAATTGACAGCTGATTATGTTCAATGGTTTAATCATTGTTTTTGATTTAATTTTTTAATTACACAATACTTAATGATTGGTTTTGGTGAATAATTTTCTATAAGTTTAATTTAATAAAATGTTATACATTGCATTATAGGCATTTATTGCCTAATAAGTAACAGGCAATAGCTAATATACTGATATAGTATGCCTATTTAATAAAATGTGTGTACAATATGTATATATTACTTACTATCTGTCGAAATGATTAAAATAAACATTGCCTTTCTTGTATCTGATGCACTCTCGTTGTTTGTCGAAACAGTCGCATGAACATGAACCGTTTGCCAAATAACGGACAGTGTATTCCGTTGGACATTTACAACTACATTTTAAAATAAGTTATTCAATCATTAACTATTTTATTAGGTAATATTGACATACACATAGGTCAACTTAAGGATGAGCATATACACCAATTTCCATTAGATATCTTAACCCTGTTTATCCCAACTGAATTTCAGTTCATTAATCAATTTAATATTTTTGTTTAATGGGTAATTTAGTATTTTTAACTAACAATATATCGATAAATTTTTGCTTTGCCTATAAATTTCTAATCTTCGAAACCAAAAAAAATTTAAGAATTTTTTTTAATTAAGATAGAATAAATCTTACCTATATCCTATTCCAATACGCATAAGTACATGACCGTAGCTAGGATTTTAATCAGGGGGGCAGTTGATAATCTTTTCTTTTTTTTGATTTTTCGATTTTATGGTAGAACTTATACATTTGGTATAAGAAATAGAATTTAGTGTGAAGTGCAAGGAGGGAAGTGCCCCCTGCTCCACCTTTGCTACGCCCATGTATAAATACATTATATAAGCCACCCACAAATTTTTAATCGAAATCCAAAATCTACCAAGCTATACAATACAGATTTACAAGTAATTTTGCATATTTCTATTACATATCAAAGGCATGTCTGTGATATCAATGTTTAAACATTTTTAATTCACCTGTACTGATTATTTTTTTCAATTCTATGTCTGAACATCAGTGGCGGATCTGGGGTTGCCGTGGATGCAGTCGGCAACGTGTCCCTGGGCATCAAGTCATCCGTTCTTGACTGGCACTCACATTCGGTATGGTTGTAAAAAAGTAACGATTTTTGGTACGAAGATTGTTCGGGTGACTGCCGATCTCCCAATCCGGGTAAAGTCTGTGTAAAAATTAAATAACAATACGTTTAAGGATATAGACTCAACTAATATGGCTTATTTAAGAATAATTAAACATAATAAAATTAAAATACGAGTATAAACAGACCAAACAGTGAAAAAAATATTGCTTTTTGTTAATACTAAATTTGTGCGAAAACCCAAGCTGAAATACACAGTTTAAGTAAATTTTCATCAGCCAGGGATAGTAGTTATACACTTATACCTTAAAGGTATTTAAGTTTAAAAGTTTTTAATACAATTTTAACGGTTCAATATAACTTACTGTCTTATACCAATGCGGTGACAAACTATTTTTATTTATTTATTTATTATTTTTTTTTTTTTTGAGCAGTGGCTAAATATAGTAGGTATACCAAAAAAATAAATATTTACAATTAAATTTAAATGTCAAGGTACTTATTAAAAAAAAAAAATCATTTTTATACATGTACACTATTAAATATTTTATACCAGGAATGTTTAAATGATTAAATATCAATGTCTCTAGTCCAATTTTTATAACGACACCTAGACCAACCTAGTACCTACCCACTCACTTAATATTCAATAGAGACCAATGCTTCTGGAAAACCCCATCACCATATCATTGTACTTATATTGAGTTATACATATCAGTGTATAAAAGGTGTGATCAATAATACCAAGATTAAAATTGAATTTGGGGTAAAAATAAATGTTATGGGAATACACACATATCAAATAAAACAAGAGATAATATTCAATTACGTTATTTAAACCATGAGTTAATATTTTCTTTTAGTAATGAGCGTCAGTCCATTAAAATCTTATAGGTACAACTGTTGTGTCATTCTTGTCATATCGAATAAACTAGAGCTGCATATTTATATTAAATGTTGGTTAAACTTGTTTAAAATCAGTGACTAAAACTTTTTAAATAATTTAATAAGTATTTAAAGATGAAACATTAAGTTGATCTAAAATATTTAAATGGCATAAAAAGTTTCTAGAGATTGTGAAACAATTATTGATGACTCCCATGCTGGTTGACCTTCAACTTCAATAAATGTGGAAATGGTGGCAAAAGTTCGAAAAATTATTAGGTCAGATTGACTAATGATAATAAGAGAACTTTCTTGTGTGTTTTCTTATGCGGATCATTCCAAATTTTTATAGCTGAAAATTTATGTATGAAACGAGTCTATGCTAAATTGGTTCCAAAATTGTTATCTCAAGATCAAAAAAATCATCGACTAGAAGTTTTATCAACGTTTAAAAGAAAGAGCACAACACGATCCAGAGTTAATTAAAAAATTGTTTATTTGGTGATGAATTTTTGGTCTATGGTTATGAATTATGATCATTTTTAAATTGAAATATTTGATTTATTTTATTTCAATAAATGTGAGGAACAAAAATATTAAGCTTTTAAATACATGATTCCACATAGCCTTATGACTCATAACGATGGATTTATTAAATCGCATATAGTTAGTTAAGATACTTGCCTCTCTGTATATATACGCATGTCTATACATATAGCCATACGGAATTATCGTGCTTATACTTAGGAGGCTCCATCATAACGAAGAGTCCAACGATTGTAAACTATCACGTGCCGATTTTATATTTTTCCAACACAATACCTGCGCAAGTTACGTTTCTTTTTTCATTTCGTTTTT